GATAATGGACACTTTTAGAAAAAATGGCTTTATAAAGGTAAAAATGCCCATAAAATGCAAAAATCAGTTTAAACTTATTGGAAAATATTAATTTCTATCAGTATGAACTGACCACCACACAGAATATGAAGAATATTAAAAACATTAGGAGTCAGCTGTCTTCGGCAGTCCTTAAGGTACCAGCACAATAACACACTCAGCAAAATATCGTCTAATTATCGCTATCGATAAAATCCCATAAAATATCGAGATATAATTTTTTGTCAATATCGCACACCCCTAGTTTATATATATATATACACACACATATATACACACACACACACACACACACAATAATATAATAATAATTTTGTGTGTGTATATTCATATCCATCTCTTATGGAGTTATATAATGAGATGTGTTTTATTATTAATAGTTTAAAATGTACTTTATTATTACTATTATTTTTGCTTTTATTATTAATTTGAAATTTACTTTAAAGTTTTTTATTTTAGTTTTAACATAGTAATAATATTTGAAAAATGTCGATGTCCTAGTAACCAACAGGCAAAAAGTGTTTTTGTTGTTGTCATATGTCAAGAAAAACATAAAACAGAAATAACCCCCTTAAATCCCTCTGCTGTCTTTTAAACATTACACATTTTAACCTTTTTATGAAAAAAAAGATGTTTTGGTCAGGTCAAATCAAGTGACCCTCCATTTGGTAAAGAAAACATCATTGTATTCATTCTGTCAAAAATGTATATTTATTGCATTTACTTGGTTACACCACTTGCCACAACTATAATGATGAGCTATTTTGAAATATGTTCAACAGATCACCATGATTTCTTCAGTTTGATTCATCTTGATTAATTTTATTTGTGAAGTTATTAAAACAGAAGTATGAACTGCCATGTATCCATCTTGATCTGCATGATCAAGAGGCTGTGTTGGACAGAGATACAGTACAGAGACCAAGGTACATGTTAAAAACTTGAGTTATGTGCCACATGTGCATTTGCTCTGCTCACCTACCTGATAATGAACTGCTCACCTTTCTATTATTGAACTGTCTACCACAGTAACTCTCTTATGAATCCAAAAGTGTAAGTCATTGCAGCGGGTTTCATCACGTTGCTGCTCTCGGCTGCATTAGAAGTCATACTTGCCCAATTCTTGTTTCTTTCTCTGTGTGAGTTTTGAACTTTTTCTTATTGCTGAGTCCAGCTACATCAGTTTCAGCTTAACTAACTGGCCTCACTTGCTAATGGAAATACTTTGTGGTGACAAAATCTTTACTATTGTGGCATATATGGTGTAACCTTTTCACAAATTTTAGTTGTCCCACTCTGTGAATGAAGAATTAGGTTTAGTCATCCCCTCTCTCTCTCTCTCTCTCTCTCTCTCTCACTCTCTCACTCTCACGGTGTGTTTCAGGAGCACCATCTCCAGAGGGCCATCTCTGCCCAGCAGGTGTTCAGGGAGAAGAAGGAGAGTATGGTCATCCCTGTGCCAGAGGCAGAGAGTAACATCACGTATTACGACCGCCTTTACAAAGGAGAGTTCCGCATCCCCAAACAGCTCATCCACATCCAGCGTGAGTGACTCTCAGCTTCTACCTCAAGATAGTACTTCTGGATATTTTAATTTCTTGTTTCAAATAAACAAATAAAGTGTAATTAGAATTTGAATGTCAAACTGATTTGTACCTGTTACTCTGCACCAGCTCTGGGTCTGGATAACGAGCTGCCTGACTATGATATGGACTCAGAGGACGAGACTTTACTGAACAGACTCAATCGCAAAATGGAGCTCAAACCTGTGCAGTTCGAGACCATGATGGATCGGTTAGAGAAAGCCAGCACCAACCAGGTAATAGCATAGGACATTAAGTGAGCGACCCAGCATGGTACCTGATTTGTATGAAAGTAACAGTGTCATTAAGCAATACTGAAATGAATTAATATTAATATTACAAAGGTTTGGGGTCTGTAAGATGGTTTAACATTTTTAAAAGAATGTTTTATGTGCTTCAAGGCTGTATTTATTTACAGTAGTTAAATGAAGTAAAAACAGTAATATTGTGAAATATTATTACAATTTAAAGTAACTTTTTTCTATTTGAATATATTTTAAAATGTAATTTATTCCTGTGATGGCAACGTGGAGTTTTGAGCAGCCATTAATCCAGGCTTCAGTGTCACATGATCCTTCAGAAATCATTCTAATATGCTGATTTTTTTTTTCAGTAACAATCTGTGCTGTGTAATGTTATATTGGAAACTAAATTTTTTTTCAGGATATTTTGATGAATAAAAAGTTTAAAAGAACAGCATTTATTTGACTGACGAATAAAATAATTAATTTCTTAAGAAAAAAAAAACATACGTACTGACCCCAGACCTTTGAAAAGTAGTGTAAATGTATAAACAATAGCAGAAGTAATGATAATACAGGCTTTATAGTTTGAGTGTTTCTAAATGTCAGTTGAATTTTGATTGTTTCATGCTCTAATTAGTAGAGCCCAACCGATATGGTTTTTGGGGGGGCCGATATTTTTAGGGAGTAAAAAAAAAGCCGATATCGATATATCGACCGATATTCTTTTTGTATATTATACTACAGTACCAGTCAAAAGTTTGGACACTTTCCCATTTATGTGTCCAAACTTTTGACTGGTACTGTATATAGAATACAGTATATACATCAACAGAATATATACTGTATACATAAACACATTTTTTGCAATGATCACTCAAATGTGGTGATCAAACACTTATAATGACGTGACAAAGATATGTAATGGAGGCAGGGCATTTAACAATTTAACAATAAACTATTATCCAAAATGAGTCTGACATCAGTGCACTGAAAAATATTTCAATTTAACTTGCTTTCCATTTATTACTTAAAGCGAAGTACTTCTTTGATACCACAGCAAATACTACTAGATTAACTAAGAAAGTTTAAACATGATTAAAGAGACAAGAGAACAGCCAGTAAAAATAAGAACAAATACACAAATTACAAGCATAGATAAATACAACAGAATATGTTACAAATAAAATAAGGTTGGTAGTATTTAAATACAGAAATGTAATAATTAGGGAAAATAACACTGCATAGTGTTCACTGTATAGAAGAGGATTCAGTTCGGTGTTCGCGCGCCGTCTGAAACGCTTATGTGCGCTTCATGTGTGTGCGGCTGTGCGCTTAGAGAACAGCGCATGAGTAACGAATCGAGTTCCCTTTTGCCTTTTCTCTCTGGAATTCTTTAAAATTCGCTTGCTTGTGTAAATACGAACAAATGATAAACTTATACTCTACTATGGTTAAATTTTGAAGTGAAAATGTTGGCTGGTGTCACTATCTCGCGAACGCGGCGGCAGATCGCCACCAAATTCGGGGGATCCCTTCAGCTCGAGGAGCCCTCTTGAACGCCACCCTCTGCGCGTCGGTAGCCCCCCGGGATCGCCAGATCGGTCGGCGCCCGACCGTGTATTTAACCACCCATAACTCCCGGACCCCGGGGGCTATCGACGCAGGGGTGGTCACATTCGAAAGGGGGCCTTGAGACGTACACTCGATTCGGCGTTCTAGAGGGTTCCTTGAGCTGAAGGGATCCCCTGAATTTGGTGCGGATCCGCCGTGCCGTTACGGAGATATGGCCATTCAAAGTTTCAATGGTATTCCATACATGCTTTAAAATGTTTCCTCCAGATCGCCAATAGCAAACAATGGAGCGTGCTCTGCTGGACAAACTATGTAATTACACCATTTACAAGCAATTTATCTGTGTTTTATGTTCTGTAAAAAAAAATTCATATCGGTGACATATTCGCCGATACCAATATATCTGCGACAGGCTCATATCGGCCGATAAAATCGGCAAAACGATATATCGGTCGGGCTCTACTCATTAGCCAGTAATTCCTCACAGAAAACACACTGTAGTCGACAGAGACCATTATTCTCAATGCAACTGCAAGTACACCTAGTATTTAGTGTCCTAGTCATATTTTTGTACCTGTTGTTTTGTTAAAAATTTTCAAGAATGAGGGTGTCACAGCGCCTGTCTGATTTTGCTAGATTTTACCAAGTGACAGATTATTTTGGTCCTAAATATCATAGGTTTTGATTTGACACATGGTTTTGTATGATAACAAAATGTTATGTAATGTTTTGTTTAATAACTCCTCTCTTATAAAAAGTATGCTTATTGAAAAAGATAAGCCTTTTTATTTTGTTATTCTAACTATGCTCGATTATATAGTTATTATTTGCATTTATCATCATTTTTCCCCCTACTCTCCGAGACCCATTTTTGGGTTGTGATACACACTAATCTAAAAGTTCTACAGATCTAAAAATTCACCTTCTCATGTTTCACTTATATTCACACATATTCCCATCTCTCTCTCTCTCTCTCTCTCTCTCTCTCTCTCTCTCTATAATTGTTGTGTAGTTGGTCACTCTTCAGGAGGCCAAGCTGCTGCTAAATGAAGATGACTACCTGTTGAAGTCAGTGTATGACTACTGGGTGAGGAAGAGGAAGAACTGCCGGGGCCCATCGCTCATCCCTCAGATCAAGCAGGAGAAGAGGGATGGCTCCACCAACAACGATGCTTACGTGGCCTTCAGGCGCCGCACAGAGAAGATGCAGACTAGGAAGGTATGCATGTGCTCTGTGTTTTGTCATGCATGCCTCGAACAGTAATGTTAGAGGGCATTCAGACAAGACTTGTTCTTACTTTCCAAAAGCAATGTTTTTTAATATGTTTGCACGACAAACTGGCATCCTTATGTCTCATCTATTTTATATTAATAGTATTATTTTATAGTATAATAATAGTATTATTTTTATTTACATCAGCTTTTTGAAGACATCTGCATTCAGTTCTAGCTTTTCCTAGCTAAAATTAAGTGGGTGACCGATACAGATTTTTAAATGCCAAATATGTAGTATATTTGTTTTGTACAGCACATTTCTTAATTCATACATTTTCCCCTCAATAGAACAGTGAGTTGGATATAGACTTGACACCTACTGGAACTGTCTGTTTATGTGTCTTGCACTCTCTGTAGAATCGCAAGAATGACGAGGTGTCTTATGAGAAGATGCTGAAGCTGAGGAGAGAATTCAGCCGAACCATGAGCATCCTGGAGATGATCAAGAAGAGAGAAAAGAGCAAACGAGAGCTGCTGCATCTGACGCTAGAAGTGTTTGAGAAAAGGTGTGTGAACGTTGCTCTTTTTATAAAGCTGCTTTGAGATGATTTCTGTTGTTTCATGCACTAAATAGTAGGGCTGTGTATCACCAGCAACGTCACGATACGATACGTATCACGATACAGAGGCCACGATACGATGTGTATCACGACACAGGACTGCACTGAATTTCACCTCAGCAGAATTTAGAAAAACAGAGTCTGTGGTGCTTTGGTCATTTCCTTTATACTCAACGCGTCCGCAAGTTCACTTAGTTGCGCGCGGCAAATATGACATCGCGGTGTTGGCGGAAGTTCACTTTGAGTGCGTGCGACGTCGTTTCGCGTGGCGGTGTGCACGACATTGTGATGGTACATCGTCGTATCGATATTTTGAACACAGCACTACTAAATAGATAAAGCTGTGTTTTGTGTCACTTAACTGCTAGAACGGTTGTTGTGTGTAAGGTGACTCATCTATCTCATTACCTGCCTCGCTAAGTTTTAAATCATTTGAAAAGTGCAAAGTGGTTTTTACCCTTTGTTTCTCCATGTCTTGTATTTATTAGATATCAAATTGGAGACTTCTCAGGAGAGGTTCTGAATGAAGTCACTGTACCTCTGGCAGAGAAAACCATTTACCCTGCGTCCATATCCTTACCCATGAGCAGCCGACACAAGGTAGAGAGCAAAATTAAGGTAAGGAGATATCTGTGTGCAAGAAATAGCATGAACGTGCTCACTGGTTGTGATAAAACAATTTCTTCTCTTTCCTTCAGTCCCACAAATCTGGGCCCAAACACCTCCACCCCTTCACAGTCAAGCCTGAGCCTCACTTTGACTTTGTGCGTTCCCTTAAAAAGTACAACAAGAGGCCCAATCTTGATGCATTTCGCCAGCCTGGTCGGCCAGAGCGACAGCAAACCATCAACAAGGCAGACATTAAACAATATGACTTCCACAGTTCTGGAGAGGAGGATTACCCGCTGGTCAGTGCAAATTTCAGTGTTTGGCTACAGATTCTCATGTAGATGTGTCCTATTGAGAAGTTTTACTGAAAAGATGTTAATTATGTCTTTTGTTTCTACTTTTTACTCTGAAGTCTCCTGCTTCAGAGCCGGATGAAGAGAATGATCCTGATGGAATCTTTGCCTTCAGACGGAAAGCTGGCTGCAGTTACCATGCTGTGAGTTTCCCATTTTACATCAATGCTGGCAAAATTCTATCTTGATATTTAAGGTGTCCTGACATGGCTTAAAGCAGTGGTTCTCAACTTGTCCACAAAAATGTTCGAATGCCCCGCAGTCCTAGTTTGTTTTCAGAACTTTTTTTAATCCATGGGCACTTTTACTATAGTTTGTGTAAAAAAAGAAAAGAAAAAGTAATTAAAATAATTGAATTTCAGGATTACAAAACTTTTAGATGCTGATTATTTTTCCAGGCCTCCCACTCTGTTTAACCAGTGAATTTACATGACTCTTCCTCCAATAGTTTGTGATTTACTGCGTAAGGATTTTTAAAAATATTTGTAACTCCATTTCCTTATAAGCAATTAGTTTAGAGCTTTGTAACTGGTGAAATATACATTCTTAAAAAATTGCCCATAATGTTTTAAGATTGTAATAATTTACATGATTTTTCCAGATCTACAAATCACACTAAAATTAGGCTACATCATATATCCAGGTTTTCCAAAACTGTGAATCCTGGATCTTAAAAGGAGTTGTCTTTTAAGTTAAGTGGGTAAATTAAGATAAGAAATATCTTGATTTATGTAACAAAAATAGATAACTAATATTGTTTTACTAAACAGTTTTCCTGCCATGATAGCCACAAAAGCATTAAAAAACAAACAAACAAACATTTAACCTATTTATATGCTTGTTTTGTTGTATTTTAAATAATTTTAAGTCATCAGGCCCCTTTGGAAGCTTGCTGAGACCCTCTAGTGGGCCCCGGCCCCCTGTTGAGAACCACTGGCTATTTCCCCCAAATCATTTTATAGCATCATTTCAATCAGCCATTTTTGTCAAGTAGATAATGTCTTATATTAAACATTTAAATTGCATTTAAAATAATCAAAATAAGTACAAATAAATGTTTTATTATTTTTAATATTTGTATCCTTATTTATATAAGGGCATATTGTTAACATTGGGGTTGCAAAAAGGTGGAAAATTTCCAGTAAATTTCAGAAATATTCCAGAAATGTTGGAAACTTTCCAGGATTTTTTGGAATATTCCAGGGATTTTTGGAAAGTTTCCGGAAATGTTCCACCCCTTTGCAACCCTAGTTAACATTAAGCATGAGAAAATGCTGCTTGAGGACGTTTGAGAACAAGTGTGAATTCTAATGACATCAGATCATTGTTTTGAACGTATTGAAACTGATTCACAATAACGAACCCTCTCTTACATGTGGGTCATGAGACATGGTGGAGTGTTTTTTGTAGCATGTAAATGGAACACTTGGCCAATACTGCTGCTTTGCTTTAGTGCGTGTGAATAACATGTAACTAATACAAAACTTCATAGCTAGTTGTTCCTACCTGCCATAGACTATGCTATACTCACTTTAATAGTGACAGAGTAGTATATTATTTGGCTCTGTGGTGCTTTGGTCATTTCCTTTGCCATTGTTAAATGTGTGTTGCATGTCCTCAGCTGCTGATGGATCAGAGCTGCTCTCCTCACTGGCAGCAGATGGGTCAGGACCGGCTATGGCAGCGCAACTGTCTCACCGCCCTGTCCGTGCCCAGACGCTGTATTGCAGTGGCACGCGGGAGGGTGGGTAGAGGTGGCAGGTACGTCATACTTCTATTTACAGTTTCTCATTTGCCCTTTTAATCTTTTATAAAAAAAAAGAGAAAAAATCTGTTTCCTTTACTGAAGTATGAGTCACTGTAGAGATGATGTGTGGTGTGAATTTATTTAGTCCAGATTAAATTGAAGTGTTCATGAAGCTACTCCCTAATGATCAGTGCATATCTAAAAGCACTCTGTTGTATTCCATCAGGGTTGTTTTGGATCGCACCTCGTCAGATCTGGACCGTGCCCTCAGGCATCTGGACCCTGACATGTTTTATCCCTCTGCTGACTCTATTGTGCCTGACCTCCCCGTCCACGCATATACAAACTCTCAGAACTCCAAATTAAGCCCTCAGCGCTCACTGACTCAGCTCCTGAGTGACATCCAGGCCTGCAGGTGGAAGTTTTTTCGCCTTCGGCCGCTACAGGAGAGCTCAAGGGGTGAGGACAAGAAAGGGACTCCGCAGGTGGAAAAAGGTGGAGCGACGCCTCTCTCTAACAGTGTGTCAGGTGAGGCATCTGAGCTGAACAGGATTCAGAAGCTCAGTCAACTAAGTTGTAACTGTCAGTTTATTCCAGGGTAGGGCTGGACGATATGGCCAAAATTTCACGATACGATATATTTCTTAAGTTCGGTCGATACAATATAATTCCGATATCGATATGAATACTATTTTAAAAAGCCTCGTAAAAACTACCAAGAACGCCCACAACAGTTGTCTGTCTTACAAACTTATGAAAAATTAATTTGGCAAGTCTATGACACCTCATATAAAACCATATAATATTTTAGAAAAAAAAACAACACAAATAAATTAATGTTCACCTTTTATTTGTATTTAGCCTTCATACAAACAAGAAATGTGAAATCACTGTCAAATAATCGTCTCAGACTCACCTAATTAATATTAATATCTTTAACTTCAAACTATAGGCTAACATACACTACCAGTCAAAAGATTTTGAACAGAAAGATTTTTTATGTTTTTAAAGAATTCTCTTCTGCTCACCAAGCCTGCATTTATTTGATCCAACATACAGCAAAAACAGTAACATTTTGAAATATTTTTACTATTTAAAATAACTGTTTTCTATTTGAAAATATTTTAAAATGCAATTTATTCCTGTGATTTCAAAGCTATATTTTTAGCATCATTACTGTAGTCACATGATCCTTCAGAAATCATTCTAATATTCTGATTTGCTGCTCAAAAATAATTTGTTGAAAACAGCAGAGTAGAATTTTTTCAGGTTTCTTTGATGAATAGAAAGCTCAGAAGAACAGCATTTATCTGAAATATAAATATTTTGTAACATAAATGCCTTTATCATCACTTTTGATCAATTTGAAGCGTCCTTGCTAAATAAAAGTATTAATTTCTATAATTTCTTTCCAAAAAAAAAAAAAAAGAACGAAAAAATAAATCATACTGACTCCAAACTTTTGAATGGAATAGTGTATAATGTTACAAAAGCTTTTTATTTCAGATAAATGCTGATCTTTGGATCTTTCTATTCATTAAAGAATCCTGAAAAAAAAA